CCCATCTATGCGGTGAAGTGAAGACTGATTGAATGTACGTGATAAGCCATTCCTAAAAGAAGGTTTTTTTTTCTTGTCCTTTTTTAATATGTTAAATAACAGACACGCTGACGTAATATTTACCCAGCTGACGATTTCAGTGGATCGCATTTAGCCTGGTGAAAGTAAATTACTAAATGGATTATTAACTCCGATTAAGGACTTCGGGTTCCAGTAACTCGAGATATTCATCCAATATGATAACCTGGGATTAATTAGTGTTGCTGAATGACTGGGCAGGACAGTTCTTTATGCAAGTTAGACCAAAATGTTATTCAAATATATTTTAAATATTAGCTTCAAATGATTTAATTAAAATCAGTGACAATAGAAAACTACTACTTTCCACAAAACTTCGGTATCTAAATTCAGGCTTCCTTAAAATTACATCTGTGATAAGCATGAGTTGAAATCAAAATAGACTGAAAGAAATACAGGAATGACGTGATTTATCCATCCAAGCAGAGCACAATATGCTGATTAAGTCACAATGATATCATTGACAGAGAAATTTGTATAAAACCAGCCAGGGTACTTCAAAGGCAAAGATCAGAGGACTGATGTTAATTAACGATGAGCAGCTGAGCTGGAGAAGCATGAGCGTGTAAAATATGTATATATTTTTTTTTAAGAGAAAAGAGCTCAAGGTATGACTGAGGAAACACTAAAGCCTTGAAGCGATACGTCTCACTTGAAGAGAATCAGTGTCAGCGAGCTGAACGCAGAGCGAGCCAGCTGACTGCTGATGGCTGAAACACAGAAATGTTTGGAGATGGCGGAACAGGGCGTGGCGGAGCCATCAATCTCTGCAGCATTGCGTGGATCAACAGGTGTGCCAGAGGATAGGATCCGAGCAGCAGCCAGAGCGGAGGAGCCGAAGCTCACTTTGAGTAGAAACGGTGTCATCTGAATAATAATAATGCATTTTATTTAACAGCGCCTTTCTGGACAATCTAGGTCACTTTACAAAAAATAAAAATAAAAGTGAAAATACAAAAATACAAATACAGGAACTAAAAACAGTTATGGATAGGGAAAGAGCAGTGTATTCACAAATAAGCGAGATGGAACAGATGGGTTTTGAGTCTCGTTTTGAATAAGGGGAGAGAGTCAATACTGCGGAGGTCGGGAGGAGTGAGTTCCAGAGCTGGGGAGCAGAGCGGCCCAAGGCTCTGCTCATCATGGTGACAAGTTGACCTGGTGGTACAGTGAGGTGGATGGAGGAGGAGGATCTAAGGGAGTGAGAGGAGGTGGCAATGTGAAGGAGGTCAAACAGATATGGATGGCTTTGAAAGTATAGAGAAGCAGGGCTCGATGTTAACCATCGCACGATCTCCCGGGGCAAGTAGTTTTTATTGTTGGGAGAGTACAAATTTCATTGCATTTGCCCGCCGAAAAAAAAAAAAATGTATCACTCAAAATTACTTTAAAATCACCAACATTTGACGACCCAGAAGCGTTGGCGGTGCCATTTTTGTTGTTTTGTACACATTCTCGAGTGATTTGAAAGAGATGCGTGATTTGAAAAAGCCGGGTGATTTTCCGCCAGATTTTTCTCCACCTGGCGGTAATTTTGATGTGGTTACCAAAACGACAAACAAGCTAGAAAGTGCTATCATATGGCAGTCTTCTGTACAGTGATGCAGGTCATACATTAAAAAATGTTTATTAAATTTTTTTCTCTTAGACATTGGAGAGGTGCATTTAAATGTTATAGAGCTAAACATGTTAAATTGGTGACCTGTTATGTTATTATTATTGTCTTGTTGCTGCATTTATTTTGTCAGGGGAAACTAATCCTGTGTCAGTTAAAAGTCAGGGAATTCTGAAATTATGTAAGAATGTGGAAAACCCTGTATAAAATAACTAAGT